GGTTATGGCTCTCAGTTGAGCAGTAATTTCTAACAGGCACCTTTGTCTCTCCCAGATGTCGTCCACAGTGGACAGCGGGGATCCAGTCCCGGGAAAACAAAATGAAGAAAAAACCTACAAAAAGGTGAGTGAGCAGCGCGGAGCCCCGCCCCCGTGTCAGGAGGCCCAGGGGCTGCAAGGTGGAGGCTCTCGGTCGACGGTGGCTTCCCCCAGCACGGTGCGTGTCACACGCTCCTGGCTCCAGTTTCCCTCTAGCTGTGACCACAGACTTGGTGGCTTCCCACCGTCGAGCGTGGCATGGCCTTGACAGGCTACAGGGTGGGTGTCCAGCAGGAGCATCCCGGGGCCACGACCACAGTGGCCGAGGTCCTTGTCCCTCCTGGAGCCGTGAGTGGGTCGCCACTCCCCACCTCTGTCCGCGCCTCCATGCTTGCCAAACCCAAACCAGCCGGGCTGGCAGAGAGAGGCCTAGGCCTAGCACCAGGAGACCCTAGGCCCGCCAGAGCTGAGCTGTGCCCTTGGGGGTGTGGGGAAGGGGTCTCCTTTAAGCTTTGGGTTGTGAGATCCGGGCAGAGTGGTCCCGCGTCGGGCAGTCGCTGTGAGTCGGACTGGACTCCGGGGCACAGGGTTTGGAGTTTGCGGGGTAGTTTGGCCGAAAGCTGAGCTGTGGGGTGAGCTCAGCTCCTGACTTGAAGGGGAACCAAGAGCCATAATCTCGGGGTTTGGGTGCTGACTTTTCAGAAGGAGATCACCAGGCCTTCCTTCCGAGAGGCCTCCTGTGGTCCCCAACCTCCCACCCCGCGTGTCAGCCATTGTGCCAGCCTGGAACCCCCAGACAAGCTGGGGTCACAAGGTGCTGTGTGCTGTGCTCCTGGAAACTCTGTATGGGGTCTGTGATAGGGTTATTGTGTTGTGCCAAGCGGGCCAATAGGAACATGTGGGGTGAATCAGCTCGCAGTTTGATTGGAGTGCAAAGAGATAAATGGCTCCACAAGGGCCACCCTGTCTTTGTTGCTCTCTGGTGATTGGAGCGTGCTGCCAAGTGTGTGCTGCCACTTTAGCTAGTACTCTGCCTCAACCTGTGAGCTACACTACCTGTAGGCCCAGCCAACCTGTGGATCTTGTGACTAGAGCTGGTGGTCCTTCGAGACCTGCTTCGCCACGCTGCTGGTGTGTGCATCCCTTGAGTTGGAGGCGGGTGGATCCTGCCGCCTCACATTGCTGTGCTCAATATCCCATCTGGGCCTGCTTCCCTAAGCTCCCGAGCTACGGACAGGGGTTGTCAGCACAGTGGTTTGAGAGTGAGTGAGAGGAGGCGCCCAGCAGTTTTAGAAGTGGCTGCGTCCCCTGGACAGAGCCCCACCCCCTCTTCTCTTGTCCTCCGTCTCCCCTAGCCCATCAGGGACCATGGAGCCAGGAGGCCAGCAGGCCAGCCCTCGGTGAACCCACCCCCAGCCCTGGAGTCAATCCGGCTCAGAGTAACTCTCTAGGACAGCGTGGACCAGCCCCTTGTGGGTTCCCGGGAGGTCCATCTCTGCAAGACCCACCTGACACCTCATCTTTCTCCTGAAGAGGACAGATGGGTTAATGCCATCTGCCAATCGGCTCAAGCACTCAGCTCCCTGCCATCGCGTCTGCGTCCACTCACAGACCCCATAGGACAGGGTAGAACTGCCCCCTCTTCACGGGACTAGGAATCCTTCTCTGTCTCCCGAGGAGCGGCTGGTGGCTTTGAACGGCTGGCTATTCTCCTCGGAGCCCACCATGTCACCACTCGGCCCCCGGAGCTCCTCATATGTAAACAGTCCTACGGATAAACTGGCAAAGGATATTCGCAGATAAGTTAAAGGAACAGGAAAGGAAAGGGCGTGGATAGAAGGCTTGTGGTAAAGAGAAGTAAAACTGGTCGGATTTACGAGTAACAAAAAGAGTGTGAAATGAGGTGAGAACAGACCCTTCCCCACCCAGCAGGAAGGGGCTTTTAAAAGGACTCTGGGCACCTATTGCCGTCTAGGGGACCCCAACCCAGCACGTGCTAGGACAGAGTAGAACTGCCCTGTGGGTTTCCAAGGCCGTCGGTCTTAAGAGCGCAGACAGTCTCGTCTTCCTCCTGTTGATGGACGTTGTGCATGGGTGGGTTTGGGGTTAGCACCTGAATCCCAGGGCGCCTCGGGGTCTCAAGTGGATTAGCCCTTAAGGGAGGCAATGGAGGGGGAAGCCGGTCACACTGGGGGTGTGGGTGGGGGGCACAATCACTGGGACAGCCCTGACTCGGGGCGATGACCACAGGCGGGCAGGGTAGAAGCTCTGACTTCTCGGAAGCGGATCTCCAGGCCTCTCTTCCGAGTGGCATCCGCACTGGGCAGTCCTCGAGCACTTTGGCCTGTGTGCCACCAGCGGCCTCTCTGCACAGAGATGAGTGTTACATGGCTGCCGCCCTGGCAGGGGGGAGTGTGCCCTCCAGGGGAGCAGGGGCTAAGGACCCTAGGACCCACCTTCTCGGGAAGGAACAGGTCTCATCACTAGCTTCTCAGATGGGGACACTGTCCCAGGCTTGGGCCTGCAGGTGGCCAGGGAAGCATGGCCTCCCAATGGAGCCCCTGCCCGGTGAGGGGTGCTGAAGGCAAGAAGCCTGCTTTCAGAAAGCAGAAAGGGACGTACAGGTGTTAACATGCCTTGGCAGGGGGCGGGGGAGGGAGGGGTGTGTGGAGGAAGCATGTCTACTTAGGGCAGGTGTCTTCTCTGCTGTCCTCAGAGAGAAAGCCTTCTCCTGGGGGTCACCAGCTCCCAGAGCCATGCGTCCCTCCAGACTCACAGTGACCCCACAGGACAGGGTAGAACCGCCCCTGTGGGTTTCTGAGATGGTCACTCTTACTGGAGTAGAGAGCCTCATCTTTCTCCCTCGGAGCGGCTGGTAGATTTGAACTGCAAACCTTGTGACGGGCTTATAGCCCACTATGCCCCGAGACTCTTTAGTATCTGTTTGACTGTGGGCAAGGGGCATCAGTCCACCCCCCTCCACCCCACCCCACCCAGTCTCCACTCCTGTCTGACCTTGTCCCCTCCGCTTGTCCCCTCCTGGGCCTGCAGACTTCTTCTCAGTGGGGGCGAGACAAATGCTGCTCTCCCAGGGCCCAGTTCCATAGAACAGGGTGAGACTGTGCTGAGGTGTGGGGTGAGCAGGTGAGGAATTCCTAGCTTCTTGGGCAGTGTGTTTGTTGGGGGGGGGGTGGAGCAGGTGGGGAATCAACCGCTTTCTGAGCACGTGGTTTTAAAGAACACTGCGGAGAAAGCTAAGTCACGCTCGCTCAGTCTGCACAGTCCACGGCCACCTCCCACCCAAGAGCCTTATTTTAATTCACTTAGGGATCTGTCTACACATGGAGACAAGTCAGCCCCGCCATGCCACCCCCGACTGGCGCAGTGGCCAGGCCTTGGGCTGCAAGGTCAGCAGTTCGAAACCACTGGTCACCCCTTCCTGCTCTCGTAGGAGGGATCGTCTCAGAAACCCACAGGGGCAGCTCTGCCCTGTCCTGCAGGGTTGCGGTGAGTTGGAGCTAACTCCGTGGCAGGGACTGGGGGTTTGGGTGGCGGAGCCCCGCGCAGCGCTATCTGCCTCCGTCTTCATTGGGATCCACAAGATTTGTCGCTGACCGCTTGGGGAAGCCCATTGCCAGGCCTCTCTTGGAAGCTCCACAGACACCTGTCCCTGTGAGTGCCCCCTGGTGCAGACTGACCGGAGGGAAGCGGACAGGCCTGCACGATCCCTTTGCTCACTGGGTCGTCTGTCTGGGACCCAAAGTGGCCGCTCAGCTCCTCTCCCCTCGTGTGTGTTGAACTCTGGGAACCTGGTGGACTCGGGGAGTGTGTGTGTGGGGTGTCTGCTAATCTACCTCGGAGGGAGAAGGAGGCGGCGTCTGCTCCCACACACACAGACTGGGTATGGGGTTGCTTTAAAACGGAAGGCAGCAGGTCTGGTCTTGTACTGAACTCCCTCCCTCCTGCAAATCTCCTCCGATGGGTGACTCTCCCTGTGGTGAGAGGGGGGCGCCAGCAGGCCAGGGTGCTGCTGCAGCGTCTGTCCCCGCTGGTGCTAGGTGGTATTTCACGGGCGTCCCCCTGTGGTCGCCGTGTCGCCGTCCCTCTCGTCTGAGCATCGCCGTCCCGCAGCACCGTCCACCGTGCCCATTCTTGCATGCTGACCAGAGCAGGGCCAGGAGGTGGAAAGGGCCCAGGGAAAACCCCACGGGACCCGAGGCTGGGAGCCAGGGTTATAAATACCCCTGGGCTGGTCGTTTCCGTCTTCCGGCCCACGGTGCGGGCAGACGGGTAGGCCTTCTGGTTCTGTTTCTGTTTGACTTGCGCTTTGGGAATGGGAGACTGGCTGCCGCAGAGGGTTAACCTTGTGCAAAGCAAATAAAAACCGGGCACAAAAAAAAAACAAAAAAACCGGGCACAACCAGTAGGAAGGAGGCCTTTGTCCCTGGAGCAGCCAGGCCTCCCGGGCCACTGCAGGTCCCTGAGCTGAGAAAGTCGCTGTCACACAAGGTGGTTCGTGGAGGAAAGAGACGCATGGGGAGTTGGGGGCAAGGGGGCTGGCCGCCCCCCGATGGAGAGCTCATGAACTCGTGAGAGAGAAACAAGCAGACAGACAGACAGTTATCATGGCCAACTGGTGGGGACCTCACGTGTCTGAGAACTGAGCCCCACGGGGTCTCACTGGTGGTGACCTTCAGAAATCGGTTGCCAACACGCCCCTGGGTAGATCTGAACCCCCTCTAGGTGAGCAGCCAAGTGTGTCACCACAGGAGAAGAGAGGCCCCAGTCTCCGTGCCGAGTAAGGGGAGCAGAGCTGACTCTCAGTTCCAAGCCTCCGACCTCCCCATTTCTAGCATCTTCCACAGTGGCCCCAGGTGACCATCTGCCCCAGAGCTGCCGTTGGCATATATAAGCACAGGTAGCCCGTACACACTGTGAGGTTGCTGGGCTGTAGAGACAGGGACACCTGTGCCCCACAGTAGGGGTGAACCCCGAATCCTTCCTGCTCGTCTCTCCGTTGTCAGCGGGCAAGAAGGTACGGGATCACATTTATGAAACAAGTACAGCCGGAGAAATCAGGTG